GCCTGAACTGCATAGCGAGACCTTGTTTCAAAAAAAAAAAAAAAGGAAAGGAAAAATGGGGTGGGGAAAGTCTACTTTACTCAATCTTCACATACTTTCAAGATTTCTCTATTCTAAATACAACTAACATTAAACTTCGAAAACATGTCAGCAATAAACAACGTGTTGTAGTCGAATAAAGACTGGAAGTCTAGAAGTGTCCACTTTCTTTGCAAAAATGTCTTCATTGTTCCTCTAAATACACACTTCTAGAACTAGAAATTAAAATCTGTAGACAAATACCAAGTCTGTATAACCAATCTCAAAACTAAGTCTATAGTTTATCTTTTTTTAGAAGACTGCAAATACAGTCACAAAAGGTCCCCAAGGGCTGGAGATTTAGCTCAGCGGCAAAGCGCCTGCCTGGCAAGCGCAAGGTCATGAGTTCGGTTGCTGGTACCAGAGAAAAACCAAAAAAAAATATAAGGTTCCCAAGTAGGATTGGTGTACACAGCCTCTTTATCACTACAGTTTATGACAGGTTGTAGACAGGGTCTCACTATGCAGTTTAGGCTGTCCTTGAACTCACTACAGAGCCCAGGCTGGCCTGGAACTCACAACAGTCCTCCTGCCTCAGCCTCCCAAGTGCAAGGAGTAGAGATGTATGCCACCACACCAGGCTTTCATCAGGTATTTTCCAAACAGATTTGTACTCAATCAAAGCAGCAGCAGCAACCTATATAATATTCCCATGATATAAATTATTTTCTGGCTAGTTGGTGAGATGTACATACTATAATACCCCATTTATTCATTTTGAACCTTGTCCTTAACCAAGGACAAAGTAAAAATCTTTAAGCATAAGCTTTTTTTTTTTTTTTTTTTTTTAGTTTTCAGATGAGTTCTTGCTACGTAGTATGGGCCACCTTTGAATTTGCTTACATGGCTGAGGCTCTCATTGTGTAGTCCAGGCTGGCCTCTAATTTACAGCAATCCTCCTGCCTCTGCCTCTGGAGCACAGGGATTGCAGGCTTGCACTATCATGCCAGGCTGGCATAAATTTATGGTATCATATTTAAATATCCTTTTTCATATAATTCAAAGTTTACTCTAAATTTCACCAACATTAGCTATCTCTGGTCCCCTCTAGAAATAAGAAAGGGGGCTGGGGATTCAGCTCAGCAGCACAGTGCCTGCCTGGCAAGCACAAGGTTGTGAGTTCGACTCCCAGTATGGGAGAGGGAGCCTAGAAGTAAGAAAGAGGTAGCAAAGTGGGTTTTATAATATTTCATACCTTTAAAAAGAAAAGGTTAACATGCAGTATAAAAGTGAGAATTAATATTACATAAATAAGAATTTTGATATGGCTTTTGTAATTTGCACAAGAACACATAACAATCTAAAAATAAACATGCAGGGGGGGCGGGAATATAGCTCAGCAACACAAGCACCTGCCTGGCAAGCGCAAGGTCCTGAGTTCAATTCTTGGTACCCTCCCCACCCGAGTAAACATGCACACACTGGGTACATGTACACCTGGAAAAGCTCAGATTCTGGGAATGTATACAAAGTAAAATACATCAGTGCTGAATACAAGTGTGAACTCCTGCATAGTGACTGACTCAATTTAAAACAGGACAAGAATTCATACAAGGATCAATGATTTTCAGACAGCAAACCACCTCACTCAGTGTCATCTGGGGCCAGCTGGGATTGGGTTTCCTGGGAAGGGGAGGACTTGATATTCAGGATGGACCTGAACTGGATTTCGAGTCTTTCCAGGAAGCATTTTTAAAATAAAGCTCGACTGCAAAGACGAATATACCCCTTTTCAGTCCAAAGAGCCCCAGCAAAATCCCAGCCCCGGACCTCACCAACTAGGAACAACGCCGCCATAGTCTCAAGGGGAGGACTACAAGGCTTCCCTTGACTCAAGAAGGCAAGATGTCACCACACACACACACACCACACACCCCTACCAATGACAAAAAAAGCCTGGGGACCAAGGCATGTTCACATGCTGCTAGGCTGCCATCCACAGAATCCTCACTTCTAGCTCCTAGACACAGAACACACTGGCATGAGTTCACTCTCAAGCCAGGGGTGGTGGTGCACACCTGTAGTCCCAGCACTCTGGAGGCTGAGGCAGGAGGTTCACCACGAGTTCCAAGTCAGTCTAGGCTACACATAATGAGTTCAAGGCCTGCCTGAATTACATACCAAGACCCAGGCTCAACGAAGAATTCACTCCCAGTGTCACAACTCCAAGGCAGCAAAAGACTCATTCTACGTGGCTTAATAAAATATTGTTAATAATGATAACACAGAGGGGAACTCAGGAGCAGGCAGTGTGCTCAAAGTCCCACACTTAACTCCCTATTAAGTCTCCTCAAAAATAGAAAAGACCCCTCCCTTCTCAAGACCTGAACAGTCAGCAGCCGCGAGCCAGCCTCCCTAGGACGGAGGCGGGCTCCGGGGTGACCTCTCCACACCCAGCCCTCAGCGTTCTGCTTTGCCAGACGGAGCTGAATTCCGCACGCGGTCAGCAGAACCGGGACGCAGGTAATCACTGAAAACGCCAACCTAAGTTTTGTAGGTGAACCAAACGCAAACCAAGCCCCTCGCTTAGATCTTCGGACTATGATGATGGTTTCAGTACGCGGACATCATACACCTGGGCTTGCCAATCCCGGGGACCCACTTCCCGAGGGCTGAAGGAAAGCAGTCCGCGGGAATGACAGGGACGAGCCCGGCGCCCAGGCCTCCGTTCGAGCTCGGGTGGCACCAGCCCCGAAAGAAAAAGGCGCCCTGAGTCATTCAGATGAGTGGAGCCAACATGGGAAGCAAAGAGCATATGGTAAAACCCGAGCCACACTGTGAAACGCTAGGACGAGGGGTGCGGGCCGTGGAGGTGGGTCAGCCTACCGTCTCTCTCGAGTGCTCCAGGCCGGCTCCTTCCAGCCAGAGGCAGGGCAGGGGCACCGCCACCAAAATGAAGGGAACAGAGCACAGGAACGAGCACTGCTTCCACCTTTAACCTCCAACCAAGTAATGTTAGCCATTTCCAAGTTTTCTTGTTTACTGAAAAGCTAAAGAGAGGAAACAGGCTGCTCAACACAGCAAACTGCTTTTAAAGGACATGTAGTTGTAAGAACCTAACAGGTTAAACGACTTCAACCCAGCAGTGCACACGTTAAAAAGTGATTTTCAACAGCGACCAGGTACCCCATTCTACCCAAAGAGCTTGGAAGTTGGTGACTAAAACTTTCCTAAATCTAGCAATGCTGAGCACCTACAGTTCTGGCCCAAGGGAAACGGTAGTTCTTATCTGAGAATATAAACTCTACCCCTGAAACTCAGGGTCCCGCCCAGGAGGTAAATAAATTCCCCAGCACACAGGGAGCCCACTCCCCTCCCCCACCCTCCCTTCGATCCTAATCTACAAGTCAATTGGCTCCATCTTTTCAGTTCCAGGGACTTTCTAGAAGTACCAAGGGAAGATACTAGAAAGTTACCCACAGGGTGGGGGAAACAGCTCAGTGGCACACCGCCTGCCTGGAACAGCAAGGTCCTGAGTTCGATTCCCGGTACCACCACCCCCCCAAAAAAAAAAAGGAAAAAGAAAGGAAGTTACCCACAAATATGACCCAACTCAAATGACTTAAAATTGAAGACCCCAGCTCCGGTTCCTACTTAGAAGGAACCTTTAAAAAGGAGGGACCAACATACAGATCAGGCTTTCAACTTTTTTCCAACCGAAGTTGGCTCTTCACCCGGCCTCCTCCCAAACACCACGCTAGGCGTGGAAAAGGCTCAGCTCGGCGCCGGGTGTTCGCTCCTCTTCCACTACCACTCGGATTTTTACGAGCCGCCGTCTCCTGCTCTCCTTTCAGGCAAGGTGCAACGAACACACACAGCAAATCTCACAGGTCTACGGGTAGGTAAATTTACGGCCCTTTCACGCGGTCCTGGTCTACAAATCTCTCGGTCCGTTTCCAGGGAGTTCGCAGAAGCACACAGTACTGGCCCAAGAGCAAAGTGGAGAGGAGGAAAGGGTCACGTGGTGTAAAAAACTCGTTTTACTCGACAGCTAGGCGAAACGAAGCTGAAAGACTGCGTTACAGCCCAAAGACCACGCACCCAGGTTCAAGCTGCCAGTAGCTGCCCCAGCTTCTTTCTTTCAAGGAGCTGAACCCGTGGGTGACCGCGCTGGGACACCTAAACTGGGAGACCGGTTCCCGCAGAGACAGGCGCTGCGGGATGCGGGAGCCGAGCGGGGGTCCCAGCAGAGGACAAGCGACCGGTCAGGTCGTCACGACGCAGCCTCCACCTCGGGTGCAGCCGTGGGCCCATAAGCCCGAACGTGACTCCCCAGGCGCGCTCGGAAGCCAGAACAGGCTTTCACACAGCACTTGGGTCAGCCTCAGAGCAGACAAGGCTCAGACTGGAAGGTGGACGTGCCTCGGATTTCAAAGATCCAGAGGTTCCCTTACCGAAAGGGGGGCGGCGGCCACGACTGCCAAGCTGTCCAGGCTACAAGATAAAACCGCCGTGCTCCCCTCACCAGCGCGCGCGTGGAAAAGGCATTCTACGCAGGCACATGCACGACACCCCAACACCCACTCACCCACCACCCTCTCCCGGCGCTCTCACGAGCACCGATCCGCGACGTTCACAAACAGGACGAGAACACGAGGATCAGTGAAAGGCCTCCGGCGGGCCCGCACAAGCAGTCCATAGCCAAACACACTCGCCTCTCCCCGGCTCGTGCCTGCGTGGACAAAATGACTACCACGTTTTGCCACCCAGAAAAAGTGAAATACGGAAGGGGGCCCTGGCGGCACGCACGCAGAAACCAGGTCTTGACACACTTTCTAGGTCCTGATCTTCCAGGCGCCGACGTCTGCCGCAGCACCCAAATGAAAACAACCAAACCGGAGTGGAGAAGGCTCCCTGCCCTCGGTCTCCCGCACGCACGCACCCACACCAGCACTCCCCCGAGAGGCGCAGCCCGCACTCACCTCGTCGTCGTGGTGCTGGCAGAAGCCGAGGCGCTCGGGAAACACCGAGAGTATGGAGAAGGGCGCGCCGGGGAAGGGCGGCCCGAGCCCCAGCTGCTGCGCCGCGGCCGCGGCCGCGGGACCCGGGGGGCCGCGCTCGATGTAATGGTCTTTGGTGAGGCGCACGCGCTGGTGCGCCCGGACGCAGTTGTCGCACAGGTGCTCCTGGCAGTCGAGGCAACGCGATGAGGCCGCGTTGCCCTCATCGCACGAGCTGCAGCCGTGCGGCCGGCGCAG